GGTCATGACGAGAGCGCGACGGACAGTTGTTCTCGACTTTCGGCCCCCAGGTTCTCGACTTTCGGCCCCCAGGGGAGCCTGGGCTGGGCCACGCCTGGTGGGGGGCAGTCCCCAAACCTCCTCGGGGCATGACGAGAGCGCGACGGGCAGTCTTTCTCGACTTTCGGCCCCCAGGGGGGCCTGTGCTGGGCCACGCCTGGTGGGGGGCAGTCCCCAAACCCCCTCCGGGCACGACGAGAGCGCGACGGGCAGTCTTTCTCGACTTTCGGCCCCCGGGGGGGCCTGGGCTGGGCCACGGGGCCGCGAGCAAGACAGGTCAGGATGAAAGTCGCTGGTCCTGGGCGAGTGATCGTTTTCTTATTCATTGGTTTGCCGATCGGCGCGGGGCCTCGCACCCCCGCACCCTGGAGTAGATCTTGTCTGTTTGGGGCGCCAGTTTCGAGCAGGCGGGGTCTCCCCCATAGGACGCACTGCTGCAAACAGTCGCATGAAGCAGAGGGCTGGAGCCAGACCCCCCCCCCTCCCTTCCTCTTCCGCTCGACGTCGAAACGACAAAAAACGAAAACATTCACAACAAATCACTGGTCTCGTCGGGGAATGGGTCGAGACCTCTGGGGGTCGATGTTGGGACAGAACTGACGTCGGGGGTCCGGGTCCGCGGGCCTTCCTGGAAGGCTCGGAGGGCCCCTCAGGCCCTCCAGGAGAAGCTCTTCCTTGGCATCGCTCAGACGTGTGCCTTTTCCTTCGGCGACGACCATCGAGGAGCATCCTTGATCATTTGGCAAAACAAAAAAACCACGCACGAAACCGACAAAAAACACAGGGAATGGACGTCCGAGCGATGGCCAGCTTCTAGAGCCCTCCCCGAAGGCACGCGGAGCACTCCTCAGAAGGCGGGAGTGCTTCGGAGAAGCCCCGCCTCGGGGGTTCGTAGAGGGAGGGTTATCCCAAGGTGCGGCTCGGGATCGGGCCCAGCAGGATGCTCCCGTTTGACGTGTTTCCTTCTTCCAGGGGTCGTCGGGGGCGATTTCCCTTCCAGCCCTACCTTTGCCCCTACAGTGGGGGCGCGCATCAAGAAACCACATGCTTTTCGTCAGGGTATCCTGGGTTTCTTCGCTCCTCGCGCTGCGTGCGCGGTGACTTCCCGCAGCCGCTGAAGGAGCTGCTGCGTTCAGGGTGCTCCAAGTTTCCTCTCAGGTGCACCTCGCGCGCGGGTTCTCAGGGTTGGGTTTCTTGCGATTGTTTCTTGCGGCCGCGCCCGCACTGTACCCCACCTTTGTGTCCCCCCGACGGCCGCCCTCTGAGAAGGCCTGCTGCGAGTCGAACCAGTAGAGCCCCTGGGCACCAGACTCAGCGCGAAGTCGGCCCCTCCTGGCTCTGGCTCCTCCTCCGCAGGGTCAGCCAGACACCGCATTTGCACCAACAATCGAGCTGCTCGAAGGCGCTGGCCGAGCCCTCCCCATCTCCCACTCGGCGCGCCCATGCCCCGTGAGAAGGCCTGCTGCAAGTCGGGATATGTGTTCGACTTGACCTCGGGGCTTCGAGCAGGTGCAGAACTCTCAAGTACAGTCGGGGCTCTGAAGAAGGAACTCTTTTCGTTCGGGAGGGGCTCTGTCTTCCTTGGTTGATTTGCAGTTTGCCTCGGGTGTTCCTTAGGTTTTCGATGGGAAATCGAAGATTCACTTATGGGGAAAAGGGGCCTCGTTCCTTATCCAGGGTTACCGAGGTCAACGCCCCAACGGTACATCAGTAGGCCAGGCGCGGTCGAACGTGTCAGTCTGCAGCCTCGATGGCCACGAGAACAGGCTCCTGCTCGAGACGTGGTCGATCAAGCCAGTCGGGCCCTGCCCTCTCTCGCTTCCCCCGCTCGCGCGAGCCGGCAGCGGGTCCCTGCGGGCCTTTTCTACGCGTCTCCCAATCAAGGTACACATTGTTCGCTTCTAATTATTTGAAAGTCCTTTGATTTTTTTGGGGGCCAAGATCCTTTCATTTCTAATTCTTCTATCCTGGGCCTCTTCCTGGCCTCTAGGGGGCCAGGAACAATTAGAAACCAGCGCAATTAGAACTGAGCAGGATTAGGAATGAACGACGTGCATGCCGGGAAGCCCTCCAGAAGCTGCTTCCAGGAGCCGTCAGAGCCTCGTCGAGGGGCATCTGCACGCCCTTCTGGCGCCCTGCTATCTGGGCATGAGGCTTCACAAGTTTGGACGTTCGATTCCCCCCCCCCCCGGGCGCGCCGCCGGACGGAGGTGGGGCCCAGATCTCCGACGCCCTCAGTCGAGAGCGGGGCAGTGTGAAGTCGGGCATGTCCCTCTACAGGAGGAATCTTCAACACTGGTCAACAAAAAAACTGGTATGGGGACGATTTCTCTACTATTACTGACTAGTTTTACATCTCTTTTTGGCTGTGTTTGCTTTCCTTCCAAAATCCGCGTGTAGGAGGACATGGTGATCGTTTTCTTATTTCCCCCATGAGAGCTTGCCTCTGTAGGGGTCCTGGCGGATTCATATGGTTAGGTTCGGTTTGTCGCCGATTTTCGCTGCACGCCCGGGTGCGAGGGTGCCTTGGGGTGCCCGGGGCCCGGGTGCCCGGGTGCCCGGGGGGTGCCCGGGGTTACCCGGGTGCCCGGGCGTGCCCGGGTGCCCGGGTGCCCGGGCGTGCCCGGGGGTGCCCGGGGTTGCCCCGGGGTGCCCTATAGCTCAATGGCCCTATAGCCAAATAGCCCAATAGCCTTGTAGCCCTACAACTCTACAGCCCTATGGCTCCATGGCCCTATAGCTCAATGGCCCTATAGCCCCCTAGCCCTACAGCCCTGATTGGGGTTTTTCTCCAGTACCATTCTTATTCATTGTTATCGGCGCGGGCCCTCGCATCCCCGCTCCCCCCCCTTGGCTGTTTAGGGTGCCTGGTTCGAGCAGGTGGAGTCTCCCCCGTAGGGCGCACTGCAGCAAACAGTGGCATTGAGCAGAGGTCTGGAGCCAGACCCCGCCCCTCCCCCCCCCTTCCGCCCAATGCCGAAACGCCGAACAAGAAAACGCCCACATGCCCGACCAGAATAAGCTCCGCGCCAGTTCCTTGGATCGGTGCTGGGCCCCCCCCCCCGCCGCCCGGACGCGCGGAGCGCGCCCAGGGGGCAGCGGCGGAGGTGCCGCCAGGGGCGCCCAGCGCCGATCCAAGAATTTCTTCGCGCTTCGCGTAACCCCACCAGCCCGGCCTCCGCTCGTGGCACGACCTTTCCGACGTCGCGCGGGTGCCCGCTCGCGGTCGCGACCAAACAAAGAGTAACCCCACCAGCCCATCCAGCAAGGCTGCCCAGGCCCTTGCAAAGATCAGGGAAGTGGGGGAGCATACCGAGAAGCGACGGGCGGGGGAAGCCGTCATGCTCCAAGAGGAGGAAGCTGGAGGAGGAGTCGGAGGAGGAGCAGGGGGATGAGGGAGGAGGGAGGCGCTGCCCCCCCCCCCCCCCCGCCCTGACGCACGGAGCGCGCCACGGGGCAGCGGCGGAGGTGCCGCCAGGGGCGTCCAGCGCGGATCCAAGAAATTCCAGCCAGACCTCCGACGGTTTATGTTTGTGCATGTGTTCTCAGAGGAGGAAAAGGTATGCATACCTCTACCTCCTCGCCCGTTGTTCCCCTTTCTGGGCCTCCTGGGTAGCCCTCGTCGCCACCGCTGGGTTCGCCTCGAAATCCTGGTCAGAGCGCGCCCTGGGAGAGGTCCGGGGATTAGCAGTATCAGTACCTTCTGGTTTCCCCAATGCAGCTGTTCGCTCCCCGATTGCACAAGGCTTGATGGCCGGTTTTTCGCCTCTTGGGGCATCCAGGGGCGGCTTTCCGGGCCCACGGGGTGTCGAACAATGATTTGGCTTGAAGGAGAAAATTGTCCCTGGCATCTGTCCAGGATACCTCAGGCATCGGAAGGTCTGAAGTGTTGGGATCGAGTGTTATGTTTTTTCTGTGTTTGGGAAGTTTCAGCCGTCGGAAGCCTCGCCGGAGAGGAGGGGAGGTGGTGGGGGGATGAGGAGGCCACTCCCGCCTCTCTCTTCTTCGTGTGCCCCCTTTGTTGTACGCCATTGCGCGCTGAGTGAGCGGGCGAGAGGGAAAAGGAAGAGGAGGAGGACGAGGGAGGATGGGGCAGGACTAGGGGGTTGGAGTGGTTGCAGGAACGGAGGGAGGGAGGGAGTGACCAAGGATGAGGGGGAGGAAGGAAGGAGGGATCAGCGGGGGAAAGAAGGGAGGAGAGAGGCGGAGGAAGCGTTTGAGATGATGATAATGAGACGCAGATTGAGGAACTGTAGGAAGAGGGCAGGATGTTTAGGGGAGAATGCGACGGGAGCGTCGTAACCCAATCAGTCCAGGACGGAATAAAACGGCATAATCGTCGTAACGCCCTCTGTGTCTGTGTCGTGCAATGCTCAGAGGCGCCAGAGCAATTTTTACAATTTCGTCGTAACATTTCTGTGCCTTCACGTTTTCCGTAGTCGCGATGCCTCGAAAGCGCTAAGCAAGCGAGGCTACTCATGGGCCAAAGCAGAGTCCCGTGCGAACCAGCCGTTGGGCCACAAAGTGTTCGCACCAGGAGGGAAAAGTCGTCTTACGACTTGTATGATTACACTCTTCTGATGTCGGCCATGGCATCTTCAGCGAACGCTGGCAATCCGAGTCAAAGCGGCCGTGCCGGTCGGGCACGTCGGGACTTCTTTCCTGGAGCGAGGATTCAATGTCCACCGGCGCCTCAATCGGGAACGGCCGCTGATGACAGCCGTTCGCCCAGGCGGCAGCGAGATTCGACGACAGGCGGTGGGCAGGAGGTGCATGCTCTTGGCGACGCACCCGAGCCTGATCGCGACAACACGTTTTTCTGGGAGTACAGCGAAAACCAAATGAGCATGCCCTCGGCCGAGAGCAAGTCGGTCATCAAGACGCAGTCCATGGCGCTCCTCACGACCATCCAGGGCCTTCATAAGGTGGTGAACTGGACCGAGCAGTACCGCATACAGATG